TAGCAATGTTCATCTTCCTAGTTATTTTTTACCACATATACAAAATTATTGACTGATTCCAAAGGAAAATTGATATATAAAATGTTGAAGATACTATTCAGATAGCAAAGAAAGAAAAGGCAAGGGATGTGTTAATGAGAGTAACTTGAAATTAAACTGAAAATTTGTCAATAAGAGGACAAAGCAGACGTTAGAAAAAATGTAAAAATGCCAAGTATATCAAAGGAATGCAATAATAAATGTTAAATAATATAGAGGTTAAACAACATAATTAAGCAATGTAATTAAATAATGTAAGGAAGTAGAAAAGTTTCTTAAAATCTTATATATGAAGCAGAAGATCCTTTGAAGTTATGGTATTTATGTATTCACATTATTATTGGAACTGTAAGCTTAATTTTGAAATATATAATAGTGTCTCATATTTTAATTTTTATAAAATAAGACGTTGAAATGAAAATTGTGAGGTCTGAGATCTTGTATTTCCAACAATCTTGAAGGAGATACAGAGGTTGCTAGTCCAGGGACAACACAATAGCAAGAGTCTATGATATCTGAGAAAAAATATAAGTCAGATGTATTTAAAATTACTAACATAACTATTTTTAGATGATAGTTCCAGTCTCTGGTTTTTCCCTCCAACTGGCATATAAACAATAATCGATCTTTCTGAAGCTCAAATGCTCAGCTACTTGCCTTTTTAATTAATTAAGTAATTTATTTAAAATCATAGGCAGGAACAGCTCAGTGTGTGTCTGCATGTTTGTGTTTGTGTGTGCACTTGGGGGCAAAGTCGAAGGTGCTAGTGTGCTCTACACCAAGAATAGTGTGTCAGCAACTCCCCCGTGACTATCCTCAATTTGGACTTGAATTCATCTAAGCACATGAAGTTTAGAGAATCATCAGGTTCACATATACCCTATCTCTGAGGTTAAGCTTCAGCTTATTTCACACATTTCAGCAGTTTCCATGTGGATGCTGTTAAGGGTGCCTGGAATTTGGAGATAAGCCCAGGATTAGTCCTGCTTTAAAGTCATCATAAAGCCTTGTTATAGGCCTCAAGTTAAGTTGTTAAATATATTTCTGAGAGCTTCCTGGAGGGAATAGTCACACTTTCACTTTAGTGTCACTTACCTGCAGGCTCATAGCTTCTTGTATTTAGAAATAGGAGGCTTATTTCCTAAGACTAAAACAGCATTCTGTTTATGAAGCTTGCTTTGTAAATATCTAAACTTAGAACTGGTGGACAAGGTACTGGCCTTAAAATTTTATTGAAGAACTATTTCAATCCTATTTGGCCAAATATTAAGGAATTACTTGGTAATAATTCAAAATAATTATAGAATTATAAAATATTCTAGTGTTTGTCTTTACTATAAAATAGACAAATCACCATAAATTTATATTTGTTGGAAGTAGAGATTCCAAGTAATACTATATTTCTCTTAATAAAATGACTAAAACATTGGCTTTATTTCTTTTTTTTTTCATTAGATACAGCTATTTTATTGACATGAGAGACATAATATACTAGGAAGAAATATTTGATAAAGTGTTAACATTTCATTGCTTTTCACTGAAGGATCCTGCAGAATACTGGGAAGAAGTGTAGTACAAAGCTATTGAGTTACACACTGTACTCAATTGGGATTGGAATGTATTTCTGACAATTAAAAGTATAGAATTTTAGAAATAATTTTCTAAGGAAAGTCAATAAATTTCCCATACCTTCTTGTGGGTAAATTTGCCAAACCTGCTTAATCTAATTTTAAAAAGTTGATGAAAATAACTTCATGATGTATAAAATACTGATTTCTGGTATCATCAAAAAGAGAATAAATTAATTATAGCATTAACATCACAGTTATAATAGCAAGAGTACAAGTGCTTTCTCTGTTCTATAGGGCTTATAAACAATAAATACTCTGTGGTAGCTTCTTTCTCTTGTGATAGTGAAAATAATCTTGCATAAATTCTACTAAGCACTTACCTAAGAGCACTTAGATAATTCAAATAAATAGTATGATCTTTTTGTGTTAAATTCCTAGAAAATTTATTTCAATATTTGTAATAGATTATTCATTATGTTGAAATTTTTCATGTTAAAGCAGTTCTAGTTTCTCCAATACATTATGAATGACTACAATTAGTCTTTGCATATTTTCTAAATAACTTAAAAATGATAGATACATAGACAGACCGACAGATGATGGCTAGGTTTCTGTGAAGCAGATTTGATGCAATTGAGAGGATTCCCTCAAAGAAATGTGGAGACTGCTCATGTTAGAGTAGTAGGTAGACACTTGGTGGTAGAAATCAACAGTAGAGAGCAATGACTCTCCAGTAGTAGACTATGACCTGGGCTCATTATGCTAATTCTTCACTTCCTATATGTCAGAAAGCAGCGGTGACACTCCTTAGGTTTACTCAAGCTCTAACATGCACCTTATCAAAAAGGACTTAAAATGCAAACAAAAATTTGGAAGGAAGGTCTTTCTTACTTCATACAGCCTGACAATGATAATGTATTTTAAAAGACTACAGAAGCGTTTTCATTTTCTTCTGCAGTTCTGGGGACTGAACCAAAGGAATAGTGCATGCTAGGTAAAGGCTCAACCACTGAGCTGAACCCCCAGCCCCTTCTCACAATTTTGGAGTGAGTTTCCCTACTCCTCCCAGGCTGGCCTGAATGGTGGAACTTGTGATCCTGCTCATTAGCCTTCAGAGTCCTTGGTATGTATTACAGGCATGTGCCACAGAGCCTGAATCTACAAAGTGTTTTTTAAATCATTTATTTCTTTCAGAATATACTTTAGCATTTGATTATAAAATGCTACTTTCAATTTGATGGTCAATAGGACTAGAGTATTTAAACAGAAGCTTTACCTAAGCATGAAAAATAGTAACTATCTTTAAAAATGTCCAGTAAAGTATCGAAATTCACTCTATGTCAAATAATCCTTTATGTGTTTTATGACTTAACTAATAGTGAGTATATTGACAGTCTGCTTATTTTCTGCGTAGCATTACAAGAAAGATGGTTCATATAAAGATACTGTGCAAATGATGATAGTAATTTAATGCTAGGGAGAATGTAGGTGTCATTATTTTCTCCCCCCTTTGAGAAATATTCAGTAACTGTTCTCCAAACAATAGTATTTTGTTACCAAGTAACTCTTACTGGTTTACCCCCTTATTAAAATTCTACTATAGTAAATAGTTTAGTAAAATAAAGTTAATTATGGAGGAATTTATTGAAAGATACATTGCCTTATTATCTGTTTTCATGAGAAACCACTTTGAAGATATCAATATGTAATACAACAAGCATTGTTAATTCCCTACCACTCTCTTTGTAACTCTGTACTGTCTGTACTGTTCCTTCGCTATTTTGTAAAATGTCAACTGTCTGTTAATATTTTCCTCCTTTTATTTTTAAAATAAAAAAAAAGAAAGAAACATTGCCTTATTTATTCTGGTATCAGTCAACCAAAAAGACCATTCACTTGGTAATCTATAGCTTCAGATCATTATTATTCTCTGTCTCATATATAGATGTAGATATAGAGATAGACATAGATATATCGGTATGTATAATAGATAAATACAAAGATATATAATCTAATATATATATATATATATATACAAAGATATATATATATACACGCACACACATACATATATTTCTTTTAAATTTTAGCTTTACTAAAACATTAAATGCCTATTTTTAGCTCAGGTAATAATGACTTATTTGAAAAATATAGCCTTAACTGCCAGAAAATGATATGACTGTTATTTGAACTGGTTTTTAAAGTGTTTGAAAATTTCAGTTGCTCATTGTGGAGCATATTCTCAGATGGCTTTGAATGCTCACGTAGCTAAGTAATACAAGGCAAACCTTCTTTGAAATCAAGCCAAAGTGATGAAGTTGGTAGTTTGTGTTCTAAAAGAATAATTTTAAGAAGCTTCATTTTTTGTTATATAAATTCCAACATTCAGGCAACTGCTGAATCAGTAGTTGAAAGAAATCATTGAACACTAGAACTCCATAAAAAACATTTCATATTATCACAGTGACCAGCCTTTTACAGAAATCTGAATAATATATTTTTAGAATTTTGATTAACCCATATGATCTTGATATATTCTCTTTTGTGGCAAAAGAATGATATTCAAATAAATAATTTTATTGTCATTCTTTCTTACAGATGTAAAGTGAAGCTTTTCATACAATGAACTATGAGACAGAAAATTATATTCCCAACTACATCAGTATAATTTTAAAGGCTTCCTTTCTCTACTTTCATAAATTGAGAAATTCTTGTCCCAGTAGTATTAATGAAAACTTTAGACCAAATATGACTTAAAAAGTCTCTCTCTTAGAAAACTTTCTATAATTTTATTCTGCTGCTTTATAAACCAAATTGTGTTTTACTAGAATAAAAATATTAAAAACTAGGTCAAATTTTCTAATACTCTGTTCTGCTAGATTGTCTTTATTATTTTTAGATAATGTATATGTCTAGATTTGTCAAGCAAAAATAGCCATGTATTTCCTTATAACTTCTAATACTCATGAATTACATAAGCACACACTAGAACATATATCATACTGGTAATAATAGAGTGTATATACTTTTCAGAAATAGGAACAGACCTTAAATTTCTACTCAAATATGCCGACATCAATATGTGCTTACAAGACTATGTTTTGCAATATTTCTCCTGAAGTTGAAAGTAGAATTTAAGGCACTGTGCCTCATCTGTCTAATCTACTACAGAAATGTGCAGATTTCTTATGGTCTCCCAAACCAATAGCCTTTCATTAAGTTTCTTTTACAATTGCCCAATATTTTCTGAAATCACAGTGTAGATAAAACTTCATAATCATCTTTCCGAAGGAATCAGAAAGAAACTTTCATTATCTGCCTTTTTAAAGGCCCTTGATGTTTCTGTTGGTGATAACAGAATCAGATAAAATTTTATCAAGCGCATCTTACCTCTATCACTGAAGTCATCTACTAGAATGATTTCTGCTATCAGACTCTCTGGGGTTCGGTTAATTATGCTGTGTATGGTTCTCAGGAGTGAAGTCCAACCTTCATTATGAAATGGGATAATGATGCTGGTATTTGGCAGCCTTTCCAGGTACATCTTGTGCTTACAGCTGTAGATGATGGAAGAATAAAAAGGATCTATGTCAAATGGAAAACTTAAATCTAGCTCACGCTGCTATTTACAGACTATGTTATCAAACAATGGTTAAAGCGTGTCTTTATGTAATACTTTTCCAACCAGAACTTATGCATCATGATGGTTACTCTCATCATCCATAGATTTTTTAATGAGGCTTTTCACTCTCATTCTTAATGAAACAATTAATTTATTCTCTTTATCAGGGGCCCAAATAAATCAAGATGTTAAAATGTGAACTTGTTAATGAACCTTTTTCCTGGTTCATTAACCAGGAAAATTCTATTATATAATAGAATTCTATTATATAATAGAATTATATTGGCAATATATATATATTTGTAGTTGGCAATAAAAATTCTATTATATAATAGAATTAAGGATAAGTGATATAATTTAAAATTGTTTTCACTGAGCACATAGTTAAATTTTGTATAGTTTCCTGAAGAATTTTGAGAATTTAACTCCTATACTAATGATTTTTAATTAGTCAGTTTTAGTTGTGAAGTGTTTCATTAACTGAACAGTGTTTATAGCTCTGTGGCAGGGGGGAACCTATAGTTTTCAGTGTAATAAATGAAAAGTTAATGATGAATGACTATTTACTGAATATGAGCACATGGTACTATCACATTCAGGTCCAAACCATGGCATAATTACATCCCAAGTGGAAATTTTAAAAGAAATCTCTGTTTAATTTTTTCTTTATGAAGTCATCTGAGAATGCAAAAATGAATATTTTATCCTGTTCCTTGATGACTTAATCTAAAAGGTACATTATTTAACAATCAAACAAGCAGATTTTGATCTTTCAAGGATGAATACTGAGTTGGAAAAGCTATCAAAATGATACCATGATATGGGCATACACATGCTGAAAAATTATGAAATTCATTTTAAGATAACAAAGAATGCAAGAGAGAGCTCCAGTAATATTCAAGAGTGTACTAAGACAAAGAACTTCTCATATAATGAACACATCTGGAAAATATTGTCTGTGCAGTTCAGCACACTTTGGTCATAATAACGCTGGGTTATTCACTCTTAGGAAAAAGCAAAATCCCCAAGGTAATTGTGCTCCTACATATCAATACTCAGGAAATTTGCACAAACCATCAAATCTCACAGTGTTTTAGGGGGGAAAGTGATATTTCCAAGAAGGCCAATCATTTTTAAACATTATCACAAGATACTGTATTAACAATTTCTTATTAATTAAATGAGAACTACATTAATAATAACATAAATAATTAATATGGTTATTTTATGAAGATATTTATCAGTCACATAAATTCTATTCAGGAGAAAACAGACATAAAAATGTTAGAAGACAAGTCATACATAATAAAGGCTTTGTCTCTTTAAAATGCTTTCAGTAATTTCTATCTAGATGAGCTTAAATTATTACCACACATGAAATGTGAAAGGTTTCTTTCTACTTATTAATTAATTAATTAATTCATTCATTCATTCATCCATTCATGTCACAGTGGTTTACTGAGGGTCTGAAATAAGCCAGAATCCACAGGGGAAAACAATGATCAAAGCTGAACTTCAAGACATTTATAACACAATGAGAAATACAGAGTGAGAAACAGTTTAAATTTTAAAATGAAATGTATGATGTAGAATATTAATGGAGAACTATATGAATATTAGAGAGCCAATTTGGAAAGTGTGGTAGAAATGTTAGAACTGAAGCTGGCCTACAGAAGACAGGTTCAAGCTATATTTAGAAATAAAATTGTATAACTTAGGCACTGGGTCCCATTGTAAGGGTGAACAGAAAGCCAACTAAATGTTTCTTCAAGATGAAAGGATGTGAAGTTCTGGGAGAAATTAATACCCTGGGAGCAGGTATTAACCTGTAAAAATGGAAGTGGGAGAATATTCTTCTGCTGTGATAAATCTGAAGTGTGTTGTCTCTTGTCCCCCAGTTTGCAAGCATGACTGAACCCGAGTTGCCCACAGTGAAAAGCAGCTTGACATTACACCTTTTCTTGGCTACTTTTCAGTCCTATTTCTTTACATTCCTCTTTGTACCCCAATAGTTGTTGGGAATACTCCACAGAAAAGGTATAATTCTAAAACTATTGCAGTCAGTTTTATTGTTTCAGGATCTATTTTTAGGGGGAATACAATCTTAATTAAAACGTAAATAGTGGTGTAGTTGGCAAGGACATTTCTTGATTTCAACATGATGGTCAAATTTTTTTAAGCAACATTTAGTTGTAGTAAGCTATGAACCTGCAGATTGTTATACCTGAAGATATTTGGAAATAAGATTTTAAGAAATTATCACACATGAATTTCATAGTTTTTTTAATGTTTTACTTATTTCTTTGGTCTTTTCAATATTTTCAGTGCCCATGAAGTACAATTATCAGGGCTTCACATGGTATTTACATATAAACAGCCTTCCTAAAAGAGTAGACTTCTAGTAGTGAAGTTACCTTCTTCATATAAATGTCTGTAATTTATTTTTCTCAATTAGTCTACATTACAAACTCATTACTCTCTCATTCCTGATAATTATTTCTCAAATACTGTCACATTTTATGCATCATATAACCTAGACTCACATAGCATTTTTGCCACTTATTGTGTGACAATGGCCAAGTTATTCAACTTTAATAAATTTTCTCATGTGTGGTAATGTGGTAGAAAAGATAGTTCATATTGAATTACATTAGTAATCTATGCAAAATAGTGTGACATTACACCAGATCATAACAATAGTTTGATAAGGGCTACCGTAATTCTTGCTGGTATTGTTGTTATTTAATTGTTTTTTCTTTGACCTGTCAAATCCTCTGTGAAAAGAGAGAAGTAGGAGAGATAGAAATGCATAAGGGAGAGTGAGAGACACTCAGGATACAAAGATGAATAAATTACAGTCTCTTCCCTTAAGGGTTCACAGACCAGTGGACAGATATAAAAAATGATTAGATTCAAATGAGACAAGTGACATAATAGATGGCACACAGGCAATGTGAGCCCGAAGGAAGTGTGACTAAGTTTGTCTGAAAGAATTAGGGAAGTCATTATAGATGAGTCTGTAGGTTGAAAATAGATCATGCAGGATCTTAAAAGTGATTCTGAGGCATTTAGACGTTAGCCTGCAGTCAGTATGAAGTATTTCAGATATTGTTAATCATGGTGACAATGGGACCATGTTTACATCTTCCCCTGTGAGAGGGGTGGACAATGCAATGAAGATGACAGAGACTAGAAGCAGAAAAAATAGATTATAATAGTTCTGGCAAAAACAATGAGAATGTGGATTTGACATGTTACTCACAGGAAAACCAAGCTTTTGCAACAGTATTTAACTTGACTGCATAATATTTAATCATTCTAGCACTTAAGCTGTTCCAAATGGAATTCACTACCAAATTCAGGCACTGGATTTGAGAAGTTGTGAAAGATGACGGATCCTCATTACTAGATCCTCCTTACTGATCCGCATTACTAGAAATATTGAAGAAAATGCAGGGCATTATTAGGAATGTGCACCTGTGTGTTTTAGGTTTAAGGTCAAGTCAGGGTAAGAATAGAAGTTTATTAAATATGAAGATGATCTATCAACCTGCAATTGTGTTTAAGCACTACATAGAAAGGGATTAAGTGTGTAGCTCAGTGATAAACCATGTAGAAGGCTTGGGGTTCAAAGTCCAGTTCCAATAAATAAAATTGCAAAGTTAAATAAAGTAAAAAAGAATTTGTATGTTTATGACTACAGATATGTATCAAATTTGCAAACATGTAATCAAAAATAAAACAAGTCTTGCAATAAGTTTATAGGGGTGTGGGTAAAATGCCTACAATTATTGCATTTCACATTATTGTAGTATTTTCAAATAAGCATTTGTATAAAATTAACTCAGAATTTAGGAGTGGCTTAGAAATGAATACATCTCATTGTTGAGGAAGGATTTATATAAATGGTTAGAAAATTTTAAATGCACTAGAAAGACAAAAGAAATAGTTTAAGGCCTTTAAATGTTTACTTGAGAGAAGTGACAAATTGTTTAGGCATTTAAAAAGGTGACAGAAAATCCCATCTATATTAATAAACATTCTGCTAAACCCTTCACAGCAATGCAAGTAAATTAAGTAGTAAATTTCTCTTATTCTTCTATGTTTTTTTAAAAACAATACATTTCTGGTATTCTATATTGACATTTGCCAAGCTGAGAGGTTTTAAAAAGTATAATTATTGTAAGAGTGTTTACTTTAAAACATATCTTTCATGGTAATGGTAATTTATCTTTATTATTTTATTCATTTTGCAAAAGCATGAGTTTCCCTTTCAAGAATAGGAAGATGTCAAAAGTAAATTTTAATTACAAATGCATGAAATAAGCACAAGACTTAATAATTTCCTTTTTGTCTAAAAGTGTCATGTAAGTAACAATGCCAAATTTATAGTGTGAACATTTATATAAACTTGTACTTGGGGTTCATAAGATCCTTATGTGCTTCTCATTGTCACTTAAATAGTCTCTCTCACTGCCTGTGTCTGTGTATTTAGTTTTGAAAACTATGTCAACACTACCCATCCCGATTCAAACAATTTCTGGGATCATAAATTTTGAGTAATATACTCGCATCAGGACACCTGTGTATGTCAATCCTTACATCACTTTGTTAGCTTATAGAAATATGGATTTATCTCATGCATAGTGTGTTTTGTTTTCTTTCTGCTTATTAACAATAGGAGTCAGGGTGTCGTGCCAGGTTATAAATGTCCCTATTTCTGTTTTGTCTTCCTGCTCAGTGTTGGTTGGCAGGAAGGTCTCTGTTCATTGCAGTAAATGACAATAGACAAAATCTTGAGACTTATCTTTGGGACAGGTTTAATGAGAATGTAAATGGTTCTTAATCTGGTGCTGACTAAATGATCTGTCCTTGATCACAGTTCAGTGGTCAGAACCAGTCACACAACACAAGGATTGGGATGTAAAATCTTAT